CTCACAATTGGAAGAGTTGTCAGCGTTGGCAAAGACAGTGAAATCGGTAGATTAAACCATATCTTCAAGTTTGGATAAGTTTTCAGGAGTGCGACTTCTCCTTCTGATGGTTCTGGATGTGGAACGGTTCATATGGTGCTGAAAATATTCACCGTAATTCTTAGGGTACAAAAAAGTAGAGCAATGATCGGAGCTACCTATAGGAGCCCGCTTCTCAATGAAAAAGATATCGGGGCTATTTACAAAAAATCCGTCAAGTTGAATACCAAGCCAGGTAGGAAAATTTAAAAGATTCGTCAAGCCTAAAGATGTAAGGAAAGATATATTAAAACGATTAAAATCACCAGCAGCGATGCATAAAGACTGGTCTGAAGCGGTTATAAGTTGTGAAGAGAAGGAGTCGACAAACAGACGAATATCAGAGACAGGCATGTCAGGAGCGATTTAAATGTTCGCTAATGTAATATGATGAAAGTGACTGATAAATCGGGGCTTACAATAAACAAAAATACAATTTATCTTGGCAGTATTAAATTGAAAACATTTACGAGCGTTTCTGCACCATTTCCTGTTGACGAAGGTGACTACTCCACCACCTCTGAGAAGGAGATTCACATTACGGTCGTCTCGGAATATGTCAAATCCATCAAGATGCATGACACTGTCCTCAATATCAGGATGTAGTCAGCTTTCCTGGAGTAAAATAGCCCCTACATTCTTGCATTCCTTCTAGTGTATCACGCTCCTGACATCATGGAGTTTTCTCATGAGCGAACGAATGTTACATGAGATAATAGATGAAACAGTCAAATTATAAACAGAATGCCGCCTAAGCGCCAGACGCCAGCTAGCACGGTGTTTTTTATGGTGTCTTTGACCAGATTTTTGCAGTCTTTTGAATCGATTTCTCACAGAATGGGCAAAAATAAGAAACTGATGTTTCTGCGTGATAAACTGCAAGGATTTTCAAAAATCTGGCGTTGTAGGGCAACATTTGACCTTGAGAATATAACGAGTTGATTCAAAAGTGATGACCACGCGCTCCTCCACCGTAACTTCACGAAAAAATATTCCGCGATAACAAGGCACGGCCAAATTTAAAGGCAGCCTAACCTGTCGGGGCTTTATGTGGTTCGCCACTCAAAGTCTGGGGACTTAGGTTGCCGGTTTCCACCACTGAACAGCAGGTCCTCGTGACTATGTGGTTCGCCTCGTCTGCTGTTTATCACACTTAGATGGGTAATAAGAAAAGAGAATCTTGAAGAACGATTAGAAGTTCAAACGAGAAGCGAGCAAATTATTAACGAAGTGCACGCATCTCAACAGTTAAGGGGATAGAGGGTCTTCACTCAGATGAGGCGTTTTAGGGATGAACGACAAAAGCGTCTTTTTAATCTTACAGTGAAATGGCTGTGCTGAAAAATACTGTCACATTGCGAAAGATCGATTGTGTCTATCTACATCAGTAGTCTACATGAATACCGATCTTCCTCAAGCCAAAGCCTCTCGTGAATTCAGGGAGAAATGTTCAGAAAAGTACGTTCTCATGGTCAACAAACCCTAACCCCATTGAATACGTGTGCGCGGAGCTATTGGATTGCAAGATTTAAAAAAGACAAAAGTTTACTACACCAGGACAGATCACGAAGTGCTTCTAGCTGGACGTGGGACGAAACGCTCCTAACACACGTAATCGGTGACTTATGATGGCAAAACATCCCGGTACTGAGTGCGAATAATGAATTGCCTTGTTCACCCAAAACTTACATTTACTGGAAATTTTGCTATACACTATGATTTTTCTCATCAATTATTCATTTTGGATAACACGGAAGGTAAATAGCTAAACATTATTGGTACATCCATACGCAATTTAGGAGGAAGGACATCTATATTGGAACGAGATTGTCAATTCGCATCTTAGCCACTCCTTACTTTGACGAGCCGAAGCCGACACACAACGGTGAAGCAAATCTGCAATACGGACCATCAAACCGGAAGCAGGATACACCTGACGTAAAAGTCGAATCAAACCGGTTACCGCACCGCGAACGGATTGATCTAAAGCCTGACTCATCAGGCCTGAAGGCAAACTGGGTGCCTGATCGGATAAGAGAGCGTGTAACATCAGTTCCACTTCCTGATCACTCAGAAGAAACTCGGCCTCCGCGAATTTCGAAATCACCACAGTTAAATATTGCAAGCCTGTAAGAGGATGATGACAGCGTAATGTGGATTACATGACAAATGAGAGACTAAATTAACAAACTATCCATTCATCACGATAGGAGCATTGTAAGTGAAAGGAACGTCAGACAAAGCACCAAAAATGCCTTGGTCTCATGCAAATCTCAAATAGGTCAACTAACACTGTCATATCAATAGTATACCAACAAGTAGTTCTGAGAACTGAAATATGTTCCACAGAGAAGAAAGCGTGTGCCATCCAATATCCAAAACATGATACGCATTAATGAACCGTCAACTGATCAACACTAACATACTAAAAGCAGGGAGTTACCCGAGTAAAACCAAACAAAAGCAACCCAAACAAGTGACAGAATCAGTTGGACACATGTGATCCTATCACACAATGCAAAGTCCAACAAAAAATGTGATTCAATCTTGAATCTCAGTATTTAGCTGCTTTCGTTCTTTGCTAACCAGTGGACTCGTGAGCGATAGTTGCAGTCTCATTGGTAGGCAAAATTAGTGACCGGAAACGCTTGAGGTGGTAGTGTCCCGAAAAAGGGTAGGGACACTCTTGGTGTGTAAAATAAATGCTACCTTTTGTAAAACATATGTGTCAATCGAGATTATACGACATTCAACTGTTTTGATCGTGTTTCAGCAATAGAAACAACACAACCTCTGTGGTTTACCTATTGATCCCCAATTGGAAAATATTGAAATGCTAGGCAACACTGTTAGTAAGACAAATTTGACTGAAAAACAGATTCAAACAGAGTGCTGCAAAAACGCATCATTGATATCAATTCCCCCATCCCCATAGAACAACCTTCGTTCCTTTTGCTCTAAAGCCTCAAAGCATTTAAGCTGCATACAACTTATCAGTGTTTTACAAACTGTGATGCTGATGTTCTCACACTGTGTTCAAGGAGGCTTTTTATTCAGCAGGGGGACTACAGTGGTCGATATTTTGGTACCCAAAGATCTTCAGATTCTCAATATAGAAAGCAGGACCGCAATATGATCAATCCGAAATCCGGATTAAATGGAAAAGTAGCAATGCTGGCGTGATGTATGACTTATACCACAATTATATCGTTTTGTTGACGAGAAGCCACTGTGCTCGGCTTCAGTGTGACGAATGATAAAATGAAACGTCTCACTGTGCTCATGAGTCGCTGCACTGTGGGTACCACCCAAGGTTCACAAGTTCAATATTGGACTTAAATTAGATCCATTTTCCTAGTGAGTCTGAATTTATCAAAGATAAACTTTATGAATTCTGTCTCAACAGAAAGAGATGAAAAAAATTTGAGGTTCCAAAGATTTTGAAAGTTATAAAGGCAGTATGATTGAGAAAAAGAAATTAACCAGCGCTGAACGATTCATTTCGATGTGGTAACTCTGTGCCCTCATATTGAAATTCTCCTCCCGGTAACCAGACCATGCACAAAAACGAAATTCACCTACCTCCAGTTACTAGTGTTTGTGCTTCTGCTTGTGTTGGTAAATTGGGCGATTCCGACTGACCCTGACAGTCGAGCCAGAAGGTGAAACACGCACCTACAGTCCAAGCGAGAAGCAAGTCGAAGAACGCATAGGTTACCGTGAGAGCCGGTGGATCGGCCGAACCGCAGTCAGCTGAATCCAAACAGGCAATCAGTCGGTCCAGTGCTTCTCGGCGCGACTCACGATTCGCGGAGAACAGAGACTGCAACAGACTTGGATTTGCATTCGCCTCCTGGAACATCTGCCTCAATGCGACCAAATCGATGCACAAATTCTGTCGAGAAACCAGGACGACGGGATCAAGCATGTATGTCTCACGCAGCGAGAAAGAAACGACAAAGACCATCATGTGACAACAAGATTCATTTAAGGCAAAGTTCACTAAAATCAGAAATTGTCATGAGGATTGCAATCAAAAATGAATTATTGTACCCCTATATGAAGACTGGTAAGAACTGTTTCCTGAAACTGTTACTGAATATCCAACCATCAAGAACATTCAAAACAATTATATACTTGAGATAGGTAAAAAAAATTATGCGAATTTTTCGACTTGCTTTTACGTGAAAACATTAGTTAACCCAGAACCGTGTATTTTGGGATTATTTTTAACTTCGACTGTTTTTACAATTCATTTTTTGGCAATCTGTGGAATTTTCGATTAACTTTTATTTGAAGACCGCTAATTGAGCAAATGCCTCGTTCTTCGCGTGAATTTTCAAGGACTATAAACCTAGTGATCGAAAGAGTACAAAGAAAAAGATGAGTTGAACCGGTACATCAAACTTGCGTTGGGTATCGAGTATGTCTTGTTATCCATCATCTGTACCCTTAATTTCGTGTATTTTCACATCCATTTGAGTCCAGACCGTGTACCCAACAAATCACGGTATAATCACTTTTACAAAATGAGAACGCTACATAATTTGCTCGAGGACGAGATACCACTAGGTCACACAGGAAAACGCAGGTGAATTGCCGGCGGTTCACCGATCCGGTTATAGCCCCGGTTGTTGGCTTTTCATCCACTCACTTTGATGGGAAATTATCTTCGCTACGGGGAGCCAGGGAGTAGAACTTCCTCAACACAGGCCATTTGAGACGCATGGTCGTATAGGAGTATTTCACAAAGTGCAAGAGGGGTGACCAGTCACAACCTAAGAAACCTACCCCGATCATATGGAAGCCTTCAGAAGGCGTCTAATGAAAACCCGAGACACCCAGCCACGACGGTACTGAGGCTTTCATAACTGGAAGAAAGTTACCGGTCGGAGTGGATTTCAATTATTCTGCTGCGATCAAGCTAGAGGAGAAATAAGTTATCTCAAAAGACACAAGACTTCTGGCCCAGATGGGGTGGGTATTCCCATCCGTTTTTAAAGACAGAAGTTCAGTGTTAGGTATGGAGTTGACGAAACTTCTGGGCTCGATATGGGAAAGTGGATAAGTTCCAAATGAATAATGTGAATTGGTCAGTTTACCGATTTACGAGGAAGAAGAAAGATCATCTTGTGAAAACTACAAGCGAATAAGTTTCATTGTCTATTAACTTCTCGCTGGGATCATACTCCGTGAATCGTCTGGGGCACGTGAACGGTGCAGGCGTGAGAACCAGGCTGGTTTTAGACATGGTCGTTCTATCGACCACATCTTCACTCCTCGCTAAATTCTGGAGCACCAACATTCTTTTCATAAACCCACCACCCACCCACCTCGGTTTGAAAGAGGTCTTTGTCCCAGTCGACTGCTCCAAACCCTGGTGCTGCTTCCCTCTGAAAGGTGCGCCAGAGAAGCTGCCTTCAATCCGTTCAAACCAGTAGTCGAGGTCGAACTTGTTCTTTTATCCAAATGGGCACCCAAAAGACAGCAACCAAAATTGGCGCATGAAAGTGCACGGTTAATGGATGTGAAAATTGAAACTGTGTCAATGATTCGCACGAGTTCACCACAGAAATCAATGTTCATCAGCGTTGCCCTCTCTGTCCGTTTCCAATTAACTTTTTCATAGATTTTATTATGGAAACAGCCCCATCTTCGTGCGAGGATAGCGGCGACAATTTACCCCCAGGTGGTAGACTGTCTCATCTGGAATATGCAGACGACATTGTATTGCCGAATGAAGTTCCAGGTAAATAACCAGCTTTTCTGGATAGTTAGAGTAGCAACGTAAACATGTTCGGTATGCATTTTGCACCTTCGAAGCACAAAATATTGTTACAAAACTGGGTTAGTCTAGTAACCAGCCTCACTCTGACTGGGAGAGTATTAGAGCAATTAGACAAGTTTTGTTGTTTGGGCAGCTATATGCCATCCGGCGGACGCATCGCGGATGAAGTGTCAGCTCGCATACAAAAGGCCCGATTGGCATTTGCCAACTTGAGATATCTGAGGCGCCACCGCGATATCCGGCTGTCTGTAAAGGGCAGCAGTTCAGATAATGTTGCTACACGGTACAGCGCCTTGGCTATTAACAAAATAGGATAAAGATGGGACGTCGGTGTTTTAATACTGCTGCCTACACCGCATTGCACGAGTCTGGTGGGGCAACATGACGAGCCACACTGAGGTTAGACGAAGAGGTTTAGGTAACCAGTCACCCATTGGGGCAATTAATCGGCCTCTATAGACTATGGTGGTTGGGATATGCATTGCGTATGTCACTAAATATGAAGATTTCCATGGCGTGCGATGTTTGCTGAGGCAGGTAGTGGCTAAAATAAGCCGAGGGTGATCAAACTTGGGTGTGATGTGAGGGTATGAAAACCCTAACCAGGAAACTCGGTAATACAAGTCATGTTAAGTTCCCTGGATGGGGATCTCGGGATGATCGTAACTGGGGGTCAGAAACACTGAGTAATAAGTCTTAGTGTCATAAACAGTGGCACTCGTGCATCTCAAATTCTTTGCAACCTTAGTCCGCTGGAATTCGACTTTACTTTTCTGTTTTCTCCTACTGTTAATCCAAATCAGCAGCTGGAAGAGAGTAACCAAAACCGCCGCAAGAAAGTGCATGATTAATGTTTGTGTAAACTGAACTGAAAATGAGAGTATTAATAGTGTAACTTTGTGTGGCTGTTTTGTTTACTGTCAAAAGACAGTAAATGTGATAAAGGAGCGGACAGACGACTGGAATGTCGAGTCCATAAAAGGAGAAAATAATAATTTGAGTTGCGAGAATAACGAGTAGACACACGAGCGCCACTGTTTGGGGCACAGCCAGAGCACTCAGTGTCTTCAACCAACAATTACCATGATCTCGCGATCAGCATTCGGGGGATCGAACACCTCGGATATGAACGAGTCTACTGGTCACCGTTTTCATATCCTCATGCTAGTTCTCGGTTTCATTGTCCATGACCTTTCTTCCATCCACTGCCTGTCTCGGTAAACATCACACATCGTGGTAATCTATTTGGCATTATGCGAAGCAGAATCGATTTAAGTCAACCATTTGCTTCAGTGAGCGACCGCGATTTCGTAATGGCCAAGTCTTTGCACCGTAAAGCAGAACTGCTGCAGCGTGCACTCGCTCGTTCATGTATCACGTGTCGTCTGCATACTGCAGATCAAACAACCTACAATCTGGGAGCAAATCGATGACTCTATCCTCGCACTAGAATGGTCGACTGAGTCGAGAGCCGCTTTCAACTCGAGGAAGACAGGGATGGTGGGTATACGAAAGGAGTGTCTAAGACATGAACGCACGACATACTTCGCGATAGTTTACATCGACGAAGGGGATTTCTTCGGGAACCCCAACCCGAGCCTTTGACCCACAAATCAGTGGGGTGTAAATCCAACGCTGGAGTGTGACCAAAGCATCCATGTGGGAGCTTCTAGAGAACTGTCACACAAGGCCTCGGGGTTTCGGTTCAGTGTTTTCTTCACTAGTGCACTAACTGAAATTCCGCTGTTCACGATCGGTTCCTAGTCTCAAGCACACAATCAAAAACGCGGCACGTGGACAGGATAGCACATGGTTGACTGGGTTGGATACCCAGATAGGGAAGATAGTATACGTCAAATGAAGTGCAGACTTCAATTTCAGGAAGCCCCAGGTAATCTACTCTAACGTCATCTAGCGGAGGGTGGGGGTGACTAGTAGACTGCTCCTACTCGTGTGTATCTGCTAGAGTAACCTCTTCAGGGGCGAGAGATGGAGCCAGGTGCCCAAGCAGATGGAAATGCGAGAATGAGCTTTGTCTGGCTTCTACCTACGATTGGATTCACGAATGTGAGGAACAAGCCGGTAAAGCTCGCCGGGTCATGAAGCCACCAAACCACGTCAAAGTGCGGTCTCGTCATGATAGCATACAATCCTAAGTTTTGACGAGCTGCGATGTCTTACAGGTATACGGGAACAACAGAAGAGGAAACGGTTATTTGAAGACAACATCACTGGTACAATCACTCACTCTATTCATTAACCTAAATCTTTTATTATTTTAAAA